GGACTAAGTGTCCCAAAATACTCCAAAAACCAAAACAAAACCTCCTGGAAAGTCACATAAGCTAAAACAAATACGAGGAAAGCAGTTAATAGGGCATCAGAGCTATTACTCTAAAAACGACCGGTCGTGTCGTTACAGATGGCTGGGATGATGAACTTGCTTGACTTAGATTAGAATGGGATGCAGCAGTTTTGGAATGGATGCAACAATTCTTTCAAGTTGTCTTCTAGTAATGGCTGGTCTACCATTCTATTTTACTCCACTTGTTAGCTTGTAGGCACATTCATGAATATCTGTCGGGGACCTCTTTTCACCACCATGAGAAACCACTCTTGGTTTACCTCCACCAGACTACCAAAACAGCAAAGTATTTAGTAAAGTACCTAAACCAAACAAGATATAAACTTAAGTTTAAAGTACTTACAGAAAAACTTTTAAACCCACTGCTTGATTGAAACAGTCCAAACCCAGAACTTGGTTTCTTGGGGACACTCCTTTTGTTGTGTCCATAACCACCACAGTTTGAGCATGTCATCTCCATACCCCTTCTTGAAAGCTTTCCAGACTTAGAATGTTCAGCTTCATCTCTTCTTCTTTTGTCCGCCAAGCATCTTTTTAATTGGTGGAGGTTCAATTGGTGTATTGGTAGATGTTGGCCACATCTGCATGTTTGGCACAGGCTGAATAAATGTTGAATATGCCTTCAGATAAGTGGATTTGTGATACCAGTGGGATATGTAGTTAATTGGCTCAATATTCTTGAAGTGCATAGCAGCAATTGCATGAGCACAAGGGATACCCTTCAGCATCCATGACCTGCAAGTACAAGTCTAGGTTTGCATATTCACACAGTGCTTCAATACCAATTTTAATGAGGTATCCTCAACCTTCATAGCCATATTCGCCATTCCATTTGATTCTGCACCTTATAGATTGGACATGTTATCCTGGTACATTTTCATAGGAATTGGGGATATATCACATATCCATGTATCTGCAAACTCCCTCAACTTTCCTCTTCTCTTCGTCATCTTCACTCTGATTTCCTCCAATATTGTTATGATTGTCTTGTGTCAAGCAACAAGTATCCAAGCATTAAAGATCTCACACATATTGTTGTCAATTATATCATATTTCCTGTTACAGTTGAAGTATGCTCTGCACCAGGTTTCCTTGTTATACCTCAAGAGTCTCTCACATATCTCATTCCCAAGCATATTCAAGTTGTCCATGTGAAAATTCAATTCTACCACATATGATACTCTAGCACACCTCCAGAAGTTGTTTCTCCTCTCTAATCCCCCTCTCTAATCCTCTCCAATCTTTGAACCAGTTTGATAATATATGTATGGCACTCCACCTATGTTCACTTTCAGGCAACACTTTTGATACAACTTTAAGCAATTCTTGTAACAAAAGAAGAATATATTAGTTTCCAACAGAAATAGAAATAAGAAAAATCAAAATATGTACATCAGTGGAATCACCTTTTGCATATCAAACATGATAGTGATATTCCTTCCATCTTGAAGTTCTAAGTCATGTGTCACACATTTTATAAACCGTGTCCAAGTGAAACTGTTCTCACACTCGACAATTTCCCAAGCAATAGGAACATCTAATTGTTGCCATCCTTTGATACTGCTACAAGCAGTTGACCCTTACAAATGCCTTTCAAAAAGCATCCATCAAGGCCAATTATCTTTCTGCAACCTTCAGACCATCCTTTATTCATAGCATAGAAGCACACATAAAATGAATTGAAGATAGGTTGCTTTCACCTTGATCATCTACCTTCACAACACAAATTGTATATGGATTTGTCTGTAACAGAATATCGCTATAATCATAGAGTCTCTTGAACTCAGCATGCACATCATCTATAATCTCCTTCAAAAATTTTGCTCTAGCTCTATGGATAGTAGACCTACCAACATACATGTCCAGTTCATCCTTAATGAGTTTCTTCAGCTCCCAAACTTTCTTATTTGGTTAAGACACAATCTTATCCCTATAATGCTTTGCAAGGTATATGGAGTTGCAAAGCTTGTTTTTATTTGTTCTATAACACTTGTGGACACGAAAATATTTTTTACTTTAAAATTATTGGATCTGCCATCTTTGCTTGCAGCCAACAGTCATGGGTATTTTGGGTGCATGCATTTTTCCCCCACCCTACCAGGTTCATTAATATACTTTTCCATTTGAACTCCTTTTTGAATTGCATACTTAGTAACAGCCAACCTAAAATCATCAACACTCTAAAAAATTAGCCCCAACTCCCAGGTTATTTTCTTGACAGTTGGATAAAATATCAAGGCTTTTTTCCTCCTCTTTGCAGCCATTCTCTCTTTATATTCTTTATCAAATTCATCTTCAGCATCTGAAAAAAAGCTTTCAGCATCAGAAGACCCAAAATAAGGCTTATCTGTCCCTACTAGCCCATGTACCTATTTTGCTTGTTACCATTTCTTAATTCATCAAAACCAATATCAACTCCTGCATCACCTAGGTTAATATCATAGCTATCTTTTGGCCTTTTACTCCTTTTCCTCCTATATTTTCTCTGTTCATCCCTGCACTCTACAAATTCTTTATGAACATCATATCCATAATCGTTATCATTAGGAACATGTAAGTCTGCTCCATCACTCTCATCACTATCAAGATTATCAAAGTCTGAATCATTCTCATGGTCATCCTCACCCTCATCACCATCTCATTCACTATCTACTTCACTCTCTTGCTCTCCTAAAGGTGCAGGAACAGGAACAGGTGCAGGAGCAGGGAAGGGGCAGGGGCACGTTCACTATCTTCTTTTTCTAAAATTAGTGTGTTCTTAAAAGCTCCACTATTATCCCCACCAACCCCTTTACTAGCCTCATTTAAGTCAACAATATTTAAAGGAACAGCATGAGTCACATAAATATCTAAGGTATCCCCATCTTCCAATCCTTTACAAATGTCTAATATATCCTTGTCTATGAGAATATTTACCAATTTATCTGTCCTATCCATTGGACAAATATACAGCTCAACCACATTTTAAAATTCCATTAACATAGTGTAGTTCATCAGTTCAATGAAAGACAGTAAATACACATCTACATCTAAAGTCAATGTTTGAGTACCCCCCATAAAGAGCAAAGTTACCAGGAACTAAGACCCCATCATAGTACCACTTGAGTGTAATCAATTTAAAAGATATTATTCTGCAAACAAACAAGGGGACAACAAATAATCGACTGCCACATGCAATAACTGAAAATAAAGAAACATTGAAATACAAAAGTGGAGACAAAGACAAGAGCTTATCACATTGTTCAAAGCAATGGTATTACAATGATCATTTTAAACCGTAACTTTACACACGGTTTACAAGCACAAAGTAAATCTTTTTATAATAACCTCTCTGTAAAGGCAACGACACGACGACTTCATAGTAATATCGACAATAACAAAAGATTCCCCTTTTAAAAAGTCCGAAAACCCTAAAGCAAATTGAAGAAATTTCAAAAAAAAAAAAAAAACATAGGTTCAACCCACCTACTGCTAAAACAAACGGGTAATGCAAGGAGAAGAAAATTACTAACCTAAAATCGCATAAATCCACCTCCCATAAAAGTTGAAGGCCTCGCTTGAGGTAGTCGCCGGAATCGCCTTCACCAAAGCTCCTTCGAGATGTATCGAGAAATAAGAGTTAATTTGGGGCAAATTGTTATGAATATAATTAATTAAAGTGACTGTCCATTTAATTCTTATAAAACTCTCATGTGATTTCATATGTATCGATTTAATAATATAATTTTATCTTTTATTTTCAGAATGTACCATTGTAAGTTTGTAACTATAATTTTGGCTCATGGATTATATACACTTGAATAAGAGAAAGATCTCTATATTTTCCTCTCTGTGTCTCTAGTCTATTTTTTTGTTATATTTAATTTTTATTTCACAATATTTATATTATATTAATAGCAAATTGACATTAAAGTTTATAAGTTTAAAAGTACATTTTTCCCAAGTAAATTGAAAAAGGAGTAGCAATTTTAAATTTTTATTTCTCTTAGGAAAAAAAAGAGTTTTGTTTCTTCTGGATTTTAAACAGAGTTTTTGGCCAATATTGTCCCGTATCTTTGAGGGTAGGTCTATTTGATTCATCAAATATAACCCTGAGTATATTTAGTCCCTTAAGTATGCTAAAGTGAAGCACCTTTAGTCTCACTGTCACAATATGATCAAAAACTAACGGTGTTACCCAACTCTGATTCATGAAGCAAATCTTCTTCTCTGAAGCAAAACGTTTCCTCTCCTTTTATTGGATAACAAAAATTATCACTTTAATTCCTCATTTTTAGATAATGTCTTCTAAAATTTTGACCTTGAAAATATCCCTTTCTCTACCAGTTTTCAATGAGAAAATGACACTGTATAGCCTGTTGTAAAAATAATAGCCGAAAAAATGTATAAAAATTTATACAAATTTTATATACTTTTTCTGCTACCGGATGTAAATAGTTTCTGACACGGGCTAAAAGTGATAATACAACCTTGTTATTCATTTGCTTCAATAATATGCCTAGAAGTGGTCCTGACAGCTCTATTTTTTCAAATTTTAACTTTTTGGTTTGGAAAAATCAACCGAAATTCTTAAATGTATATATATACAAAAAAAAAATATACAAATTTTATACATTTTTTGGTTATTATTTTTACAACGTTATTTTCTCATTGAAAACTGGCACAGAAGGGAATATTTTTAGGGTTAAAATTTTAGAAGACATTATCTAAAAATGAGGATTTAAAGTGATAATTTACGTTATCCAATAAAATCAGTGTAAATGTTTTGCTTCAGAGCATAAGATTTGCTTCATAAATCAGAGTTGGGTAACACCGTTACCTTTTGACCATATTAGTAAGACTAAGAGTGCTCCACTTTAATACCCTTAAAATAAGGAACTTTAAGATAAGGAGGGACAATATTAGTAAACTCATTTTAAACACATTCTTCTCTTTTAAAATTTAGAAAGCAAATTATGTTTGGTGTGAACTGTGTCGTCGGACGTTTTGAAATGGGCAAAGACCCATCGGCTCTCCGTAGTTAAGGTCAATGGATAAAGCGTCGTTGTCGGAGAAGGGGTCAGAGAGATTTCCTTCCCCACCCCCCACCCCCTTCCAATAAAAAGGGTTTAACATTCCTGGAAATTTCCGTCCCTCTTATTATTGTTTATCTTTCTTTTTGCTAACTCCGTGCTCTTTTATATAATGTGGATTAGCTACTTCTTCCTTGTTAGTAATTTCTTGCTGATTGTTGGAACTATTAAATTCATTTTCCATGGCTTACCCATACGAATCCATTAAAAAATGGAAATATGATACCTTCTTGAGTTTTAGAGGGGAAGATACCCGCGATAACTTTGTTGAACCTCTCCGCAAACGCCTAGAAGAGACAGGAATAAGTGCATTTAAAGATGATGTGAAGGTTGAAAAAGGAAAACCCATTTCAACACAACTCTTTAAAGGCATTGAGAGCTCAAGATATGCCGTTATCGTCTTCTCCGAGAACTATGCTTCATCCACCTGGTGCTTAGAGGAACTCACCAAAATCATAGAATGCGTCGAAACGAAGGGACAGAAAGTCTTGTTGGTCTTCTATAACGTTGAGCCATCTGATGTACGCATGCAAAGTAATAGCTTCGCTAGAGCGCTGGTCCAGCTTGAGGCAGATTTGCAGGAACATGATACTGATTATTGGGTAAAAATACAGAGGTGGAAGGATGCTCTACGCAAAGCACCCAATTTCGCAGGACCAGATGCTCGTAAAACTGTCAAAGGGTAAATAGCAGCTCAATATATTGCTGTGAACTGGGGTATTTTATCTCCATTGTGGTTGAATTAAATATTCAATGGGAGTAATTAATTGATAGTTCCAGCAAATATGAAATTGGTTCTTCTTCTTAGATCCATGAGCTTGTGTTTTCCTCTTCATAATTGGTTGAATCAAATCCCTGAAAATTCAATTAAGAATCTATCTCATTTTTGGTTTAGCAACAGATAAAGTAAAGGTCCCTTTTGGATATGGAATTTGCCGTTATTAGTTTGGTGGGGAAATGGGGAACTGGTGTCATAGAGAAGCCAGCAATTGCAATAAACCTTTTTTTTTTCCTGAAAAGTTCTGAATGTCGATTTGATGTTGTTTTCTTGCAAATGTCAGATATGTTTCGATGTTGCATATGCTGGAATGTCGGTATTGCTTTACGCTTGCTCATTAATGTATTACATGTCAAATGTTTTATTCTTCTTACTTTATACATTTCTACAAACACAGGGATGAGGAAAAATGTATTGAACTAATTGTGAAGGAGATTTATCGCTGTGAGGAAGGGGGAGTTTCAACCATTGTAAAATATCGATTGGGAATTGAATCCCGTGTAAATAAAGTCGAGTCATTGTTGAAGGTTGGATTAGATGTTGCTCATTTTCTTGGGATATTTGGAAGGGCTGGTGTAGGGAAGACAACGGTTGCTAGAGCAATTTTTGACAAGATTTCTAGTCAGTTTGAAGGGTCTTGTTTCCTTGCAAATATTAGGGCGGTTTCAAAAACCGAAGGCCTAAAGTATTTGCAAGAGAGTCTTCTTTTACAAATCTTAGAGTGCCAACATTCAGACCTGCATCTAACAAGTGTTGATGAAGGAGTGGAAATGATAAGAACAATGCTCCGTTCCAAGAAGGTTTTAATTGTTCTCGATGATGTGGACGACGATAAGCAATTGGAATGTTTAGTTGGAAAGCATGATTGGTTTGGTGATGGCAGTAGAATCATTACAACAACTAGAAATGCAGATTTACTTTGTAGCCACAATGAGTTATATTCTGTCCCTGAATTGGCTAGACATGAGGCTCTTGAACTTTTTAGTTGGTATGCCTTTCAGCAAGGGTCTCCTAATAAAGAGTATGAAAAGCTCTCTTGTTGTATAGTAAATTATGCCTGTGGTCTACCCTTAGCTCTTGAGATCCTGGGTTCTTTCCTCTACAAACGAGGCATGAAAGAGTGGACAAGTGCAATAGAAAGACTCGAAGATACTGGAGGAGACGAGAACATTGTTAAGCAACTCAGCTTATGTCTAGATGGATTGGACAACGAAGACAAGAATATATTTCTTTATATTGCATGCTCCTACAAAGGAAAGAAGAAAGATGATGTGATAAAGATACTGAATAAGTTTGGCTTCAAATCAGAAATTGGAATAAACTTCCTTGCAAAAAAATTACTTTTATATATTTCTGAAGGAAGGATTGAGATGCATGATTTAATAGAACAGATGGGTCAGCAAGTGGCGCATGATGTTGATCAGGACAAGCTATGGGATCTGTGGCTTGATAGTTACATAAATGCTGTTTTTCTAGCACATCAGGTATGCATGTATATCCTCTATTGGTTTAGCTTGCTAGAGATTTCCCATTATGACATACTCTAGGACTAGAACATTTTTTCTATATCTGAAAATTACAAGTTGTGCAGTATTTTCCTAGATTGACATCATTAAATTACATTTCTTATTTTTTCAGTTATTTGGTCAGTAAAAAATATTCATCTTCTTGTCCAATATCTAGAAATAGCCATATAAGGAGGAAAAAAAAAAATTCCCGCCCCACTTCTCCCCTCCATCTAGCCATCCCCACCGTCGCTCCTTCGCACATGCATTGGGCCACTAGTTACCAAGGTTGAGAGAGTACTTACATCAAGAGTGGGCTCATTTTGTTTGCACTTAGTGGAGGCTTGTCAGCCTATTAAGTGCGTTTGTATTCTTTCTCTCAGAACTGCCTACTAGCTCTTAATATGTTTAAATCATTCAGATTTTGTTCGGAGTCTTAAGCCTCATTTGTTTTTTTAAAGACTAAAATGTCTGAATCTGAATGCATATTTGGATATTAAGATGTGTATTAAGATTAAAACGTTTGAATCTGAATACGCATCAGAATATTTAAGATATGTATTAATATCTAAATACTAAATGATTAAGATTATTTATTTTTCAACATCTAAATGTATAAAATCTATCCTTATTTAAAAATTAATAAATAAAAAATTCAAATAAAATACAAATTAATTTAATATTTTATTAATAAATATTTTATAAAGATAATATAGTAGTTAGTGGCGGTGATGCTGACGGTGGCGCTTATGGATGACGACCAGAGGCGGTGGTTGGTGGCGGTTGGTGGTGGTTATGATTGATGCTGGTGGTTCTAGGTAGTAGCTAGTGGTGATTCGTAGTGGTAATTATGGTTGAGGAAGGTGGTGGTGGGTGGTGGTAGTTTATAATGATGGACAATGGCAGCTATAGTTGATAATGGTGGTGAGGTGGTGGTGGTGGTTGTTGAGGTGGGTGGGTGGGTGGGTGGGTGGTTGTGGTTGAGGATGGTGGTGGCGGCATTAGTTGATAATGACTGTGATGGTAGTCGATAATAATAGCTGTAGCAGTTATGGTTGAGGATAGTAGTGGCCAGGGGTGGTATTTGAGTTCGGTGGTAGTGATTGAGGATGGTGGTGGTTGGATGATGCATGGTGGCAGGTGATAATAGTGGGCGGTGGTGGCAGTTAGTAGTGAATGTGGATGATAGCATCTTAATGAATTAAGTGTTTGTTATAGATCATAATCGATAATAACTATTCAGACTCATTAAGTGGTTGAAAAATTTAAAAAAAAACACGCTTAATGATTAAGATCTAATAATTAAAATTCAGACTTAAAAATAAACGCACTTAATATAGATCCGGACCTCCATTAGGTGCAAACAAATGAGGCCTTAATATTATTAAGACGTTCAATAAAAAATAGGGGTATCATCACTTTTAGCCCCCGCCAAAAACTATTTACATATGGTAGCCGAAAAAGTGTATAACATATGTATAATTTTTGTATATAACATACAAAGAATGTATATATACAAAAAATATACATTTTTTCGACTTTATTTTGAGAGCTGCTATACGGTGTCATTTTCCCTAAAAAAAAAAAAAGGGGTAATTCTCAATTTCGCTTCCTAGTTAACCTTTTACGGGAACACCAATTAATATCTATCAAGCTAAAGAATTCTTGCAAATTTAACATTTTACCACTAATATAGAGTAGTGGTAAGAGGTAACATTCAAAAGAATAAGATGTATTAAGAGCCAAAACTTAAGACGTTCACTAAAAATTCTTCATGTAAAAGTTACATTTTCCCCCAAGGCATATTAGATCGAGTACTATATAAGATCATTCAGAAATTAAAATAACAAGAAGAACAAGCCTTTTCCATTATTAATCCAAATCAGGTACGTCTTCTTTCTCCTATTCGCAGATCTCGAGAACTATATTCCCCATAGCTTCCCAAAACAAATTGGCCCAAATATGGAAATATGATGTCTTCTTGAGTTTTAGAGGGGAAGATACCCGCAGAACTTTTACTGCCCAGCTCTACGCACGTTTGGAAGACAATGGAATTTACACATTTAAAGATGATATGGAACTTGTAAGAGGAAGAGACATTGCAACAGAATTGTTGAGAAGTATTCAGGAGTCAAGAATTGCCATTATCATATTCTCAAAGAACTATGTTGCATCCAAATGGTGCTTGGAAGAACTCATTCAGATCATGGAGTGCGTTGACAACAAAGGAACAACAGTCTTCCCTGTCTTCCTTGATGTTGAGCCATCGGACGTACGCAAGCAAAAAAATGGAGTTGCTGAAGCATTTGCCAGATGGAAAACTAGTTCTGGTTTTGAGAAAGTGCTGCGGTGGAAGGAGGCTTTGCAAAATGCAGCCAATATAGCAGGATGGCATGTTCCTAAGACTGCCAATGGGTAAGTAGTAGAACAAAAGGAAGCCTTTTTAATTTGATTCAAGTTTTGTGAGATCTGTTCGTCATTTTCTGGGGTATGCTCAGCAAATTCTCAATGTTTTCCATGGTTTCTTGATTAATAACAAGTGTTTTGAGTCATGGAAAGCATGACAGGTCAGTTTATTCATTAAATTTTTATACTAGACTTAAAAAGGTTTTCTGATCACTAAAACCATAAAAGATCAAATATAATTCCAGACTTTGACTCTGTAGAAAAAATTTCAATATCCCCTTCTACTTTAAAAGGTCCAACTGTCTCCCGTTAAAAACATTATGCTGGAAGTGCTATTAAAGTTTTTGGAGGGAAACAACGTTTGGATGAACTTTCTGACAGTTGGCCTGGGATGGGTAGAATTCAAGATAGAGAAATGTGAAGCTGATAGTATGATCTTCTGGATCATCCAATGTTGTGTGATTGGCATCTTATTTAGGGCTCCAGAAATGTCTTTACATTTTTGTGTAGGTGGAGTGAACTGCCTATGTATATAAATGCTTCAAAGTAGCATAAGAAAAAATGTAGAGGAAAAAAACGAGTTCATGATGAGCTTATCATCCATCAGTAAATAAGCTGACAATTGAGTTCAAGCTCGAGCTTTGAAAATTTTGTTTGAGCGAAGGTCAAGCTATGTAAGACTTGTATGAGCTCGATTGTACATTATAATATAACCAGTATTATATGGGAATGGGTGGCATAAAGAAGACAGCTAGCTATTACAGTATTAACTTTTGTGCAAGACCTGTTGTCAGTTTAAAGGGTATTGAATATGTTGCAAATGTTAGTTAAGTTTCAATATTTCACTGGATAGAACGTGATATTGCTTTTCGGTTCCTCAGTTATGATGTTTCAATTGTTTGTAATTCTTAATTACAGGGACTTGGCAGAATGTATTAAGCTGATAGTCAACCAGGTTGCTTGGAATCTGAATGCAACAAGGAAATTCACAGTTGAAAGTTGAATTGGGTAGCATGCAGAAGACAACTGTTGCAACAGAGATATTTGACATGCTCTCTTGTCAAACTTGAAGGTCCTCGATAATCTGTATTGTACTTGATCTCCTTCACAAATTTTAGTAGAACAGTGACGTTGATGCAATGAAAAGTTTAAGTGATAATTTTTCTCAATTGATCTTGTTATATTCATTAATGTCTCTCATGAGCTGCAGCCTGCAGGCACACATGAACACAAACTGATCGATGAGCATTGGCGATATAACTTTCTTGTCTAGAGATTGTTATATTGAAGGAACAGTGGTGGCTTGCCTAGAGATTAATTGTTAGTTTGTTACAGTGATTAGTTCCTTGCTTTGGGTGATTAATCATGCTTAACGATTTCAATATGTGGGTTGAAAAATACATTTGGTGACCATACTTTTTCTCCTTGAGGATTTCATACTAAAATTAATGCATAAGGTTAGTTTGTAGTGATCGTTCTCAGTTAGCAGATATTTTGACTTATAATACAGTTAGTAAGAGTTTAGGACCAAAATTATCATATTTTTTTGTGTGTATACATTAAGAACTATTTCCATCAAGGGGTATTTATGTCACATCTAAAACTTAGAAACACATCATGTTTCCGTTTATGGGTCGATTTCTGTGAGGAGGAAGCCATGAGAAACTTTGGGAGCTCAGTAATCAGAGAACTTTCCAAATGGCGGGTCTAAACTCAGAATTGTCAAATGAAAAAATTATTGGTATCTCAAAAGGGAATGACCATTATAGGCGTGGAATTGAAATATTATTTTCTTATATGTACTTATTATTATTTTATTTTATAAAACATACGAATACATATAAGAATTCCAGCTAGTGAAGTTGCTTATCATCAGTTATTAGGAAAATCAATTAGCATACGCTTTAAATAATGTTGATCAATTCGTTATTTCGAGAAAACTAGTGGAAACGATCCATGCCAAGTTTTGTCATTTTATGATTGTTCGAACTTCTATGAAAAGTTTGAGTTATTTGCGCTTTGGCTTTTTATTTATTTATTAAACTTGCGATAAATCCATCTACAATTAGTTTCTCAATTGTCTTGGCTGTGAGACAATCATAAAGAACAAAGGTAATTTGGACGAATGCCGAAATGATAATTTAGATTGCAACTGTTCGGCTTAGCTTGTGTTGTCGTATCAATGATATGAAATACATCATCAGATGTGCAATATTGGTATGTTTCCGCCTGCTCATTTATAGTTGCCGATGAAATAGTATTCATTCTTTTTGTTCCCTTTTAACTATTTGAGATTCAATTTCATATTATTAATCACTCACCTATTTAAAATTATATATAATTTGCATATTAACTGAAATTTTGGTTGGGTAGTATATGCTGTAATGTGGTTGCATTTTATCTGTTTATGAGATAAAGGGTAAATATACTAACAGATTCTCTTAATTTGATGGAAAAGCTCATATTCTACTTTTAGTTTCCATCAAGTTTTAAATTGGTGAAGATATTTATGTTAAGTTAATCTAGTAAAAAAGATGTTAAATTGTCTTATAGTAGACAAATAAAAAGGAAAACTAATCACTTGCTTTACTTATGTTTCTCATTTTACAAGCATCATATCAACTAAACATATTCTACTCTTTTTAGGAAATCTGTGTGAGATTTATTCAATTCTTACCCAACTTTTGATAAAAATATTATTTTCTTAAAATATTTGATGACAGCATTGTACATAATATTGTGGGATCTTAATATTCTGGTCTTCTATTAATTCAAATATGGCATAACTAGTTGTATCTGAACTATAGGAGTATTATTTTGGTCATCTAAATAAAGTCATTTAGAAAAATCTATACTGAAGCATTAGCTACTCTAAGGTGCTATAAGGTCTTGATTCTATTTGTATGAAAATTAATTAATATAAATAAATTACAACATTGATGTGATGTGGTAAAATAATACATGATATAAGACTTTTATATTCTTCTGAATCTAATGGTGTAGTTGAAAAGAAGAATATGACTTTTACACTAAATAATGAATTTATGCTTGTTGGTCCATATGATAATCTTCGGGGTGAGCTATACTATTAGCTTTTTATTTATAACATGAAACTCCTTATGAGTTCACGAAAGGTTGTCCCCTTAAATATGAATTTGAAAGTGTGTGTGTGTGTGTGTGGGGGGGGGAGGAGTGTCCCGAGTTTTGTATCTTGACCCTCTGGGAAAAAAGTGAGACTTTTTTATTAAATTTATTACATTGAAGACTTACAAAATTGAGATTTTGTGGGAAATATTGTATTGGAAGAAAATAACATGTTGCATTTCTTGCTTTGAAAAAGTCATTTTGCTTCGGATCTATTGGTCTTTTGGTGAAAAAATGATTGAATTATTGCCTGATTCCTATAAATTTGAGATATTTTTGTGGAAGTTTGTCACGGTCCAATTTAGGATCATGATCGGCACTTAGGAGCAAATGCTTTAAGTAAGCCTCGTCAGCATTTTACAAAAAATCGGACAAATTTTTCCTTGTTTTAGGACTATCCAAAAAAAAAATGTTGTCCTCATAAATATATAACAACCAACCAATGTTGACCTAAATCTGTCATAATCATCACCAACTATCCAAAAACGAACCTCCACTAATATTACCAATATTTTTAACATAATAATACTAAATTCATCTAAAAAATACGGAAAAAGTGTAATACTTGTTACTAGTCCATAATAATGAATGAATACTCATAACACTAGTAAAAATGACTATGAAGCGACTCTAAGAGTTCGAAAGAAAGACTATAGCAAATAAATAAACTCTTCGCCCACAAGAACAAGTGCGGGGCTCACCAGAAACAGTCAACTTGTATATTCTAATTAACGAAATCCTCGCTCGCATGTTGTTGTCTTTGTAAAAAGAAATAGTGAGGAGTGAGTTACTAGCTCAATAATTAATAACACTAAACCACAATTATTTTAATTAGGACAAGTTAGAAAATATGCTAGTCTAATAATCAGAAATACCCTTTTAAAAATAATAACAATAATAAGTTTCTTGTAAATGAAAAATAATTAACAACTCAAAATAAACTCTGTAACATTTTGCCATATCAAATATTCATGTTCGGGAGATTTTTAAAATAATTCAATTTATTTTATCACTTGCTAATACAATATTTTAATTAGTTTTACATCTTTGTTAGGAATCTTTTGATCGGAACGTAACTTCTCTTTATTTTCTATTGTCTCCATTTCTCTAAGTTCCTATTTAAATTGGTGTCATGGTCGATGTCATGACGACACCTAGTCTCTAAGACTAGGTGAGCCTAACACTTACTAAATAAATAGAAGAATCCAACAATTAAATGATAAATACGAGATAAGAATCTTTTGCACAATTATAATTTCGAAAACCGGTACTACAAGTCATTGTCACACCTCCTTTTTCTACTTACCACATCCCGTGAAGGGATATAATAAAGGAGTTTTTCCAATTAAAGGACAATCGAAACGGGATTCGTTTATTAAGAAGTTCAGAGTCGCCACTTGGGAGATTTATGGTGTCCCAAGTCACCGGTTTGAATCCCGAATCGAGGAAAGGGTTTGACTCTGTATTAACAGTCGCGAACCAGAAATCCGGGTAAGGAATTCTGTTAACCCGGGAGAAGGGGTTAGGCACTCCCGAGTTCCGTGGTTCTAGCACGGTCGCTCAACTGCTATATTTGGCTAAAGTCTGATTTTAATACATGTTATCCTATTGCAATTTTAGAATTGTTTAACCGCTTTTAATTAGTTTTTATGGAAGTGAACGTCGTTCAAGAGCGTGTTTTTGGATCACGTCACATGAAATGCACCCGGATCCTCGACACCTCTTATTCAACGTTTTGGGATTTGGATTTGGGTCGCATGAAATGCACACCCGTAGTTAAGAGGGTAAAATTATTAAATGCGCGCCTAAAGTGGCTAGCGTCTTGTTGACTTTGCGGGAGGCCGTGAAAATTCACTAAACGGCACGTCCCGAATTCTAAGTGCTTTAATATAAATTTAAAAAGAGGGTCCACGCAATTTATGAGTTTTGTTTGGCGTGGCGTACCTCGNGGTTGCATGAAATGCACACCCGTATTTAGGAAAGTAAGATTATTAAAAAGCGCGCCTAAAGCGACTAACGTGTTATTATCTTTGCGGGAGGCCGTAAAAATTCGGCTAAACGGCACGTCCCGAATTCTAAGTATTTTAATATAAATGTTTAAAGAGGGCCACGCAATTTATGAGTTTTATTTGGCGTGGCGCACCTCGTTTTATTTAAAGGCCACCCTAAAGAGACTATTGTTTTCTAGTATGGAATGTCTCTAAAAGGCCCTAATTGATTAACAATATGGATTGTTATTAGTTAAAGTAATTAAGGACTTTGGGCCTCAAGTTCAAGTCCACACTTGAACAAGAGGCAAACCTCTTAACTCAAGCATGCTACTTAACTAGAAGGTCCAAACCCTACCATTTAATTCATAGCTTCAATAATGAAATGGAATTTTCAGCATGTTGGACTTCGAAGCCAGCCCAAGAAGAAGAGGAAAAGACTTCAAGCTTAACACAAGAAGCTGGCAGAGAGTCTTCTAATTCGAATAAGCTACAAGAGAGACCGATAGAGAATACTAAGCATTCATTCAATTACTTTTCTCATAAATCACCTTGTTAAAATCCGTACCAATGTTTTCAAACTCTGTTTTACGCCTTTCAAATCTGGAACCAGAGGTCAAGTGAATCATGAGGATGAAATTCTAAAGAGCCTCAAGCAGGTGAACAGAGCTCAAGCTGTGACTGTTGGGGTGAGGAACATACAGGAATGTGAAGACTAACAGCTCAAGGTTGTTCAGCAAATGGCTGAAGGAAAACTTAACTTGCACAACTAACAGTCAAAGCTAAACCTCATTCAGATATTAAACTTTCTAGCAACCAAACCTATGAGAGCCAACAGTGCAGAATTTGCATTTTAAAAAAAAATAAACTGTGCAGATCTGCTGCTTAAACAGTGCCAGACATGGCAGATTTTCAGCAGGCTCACAGTCCAAAAAAATGTCCCAAAATACTGCACGTTTGAGCACGATTCATTGCTCGAATCAACTGTTTTTAGCAGCGCGAAAGAACAAGATTCTTACAGCTGTAACAATGCAGATAACTTTCGAACCGGAGAAGGAAAATAGAGCAAATCTACACATATATAAGCAGCGAAGCAGTTGAGTTTCAACACCAGTTTAAACCAAGATCTGACAAGAATGAATCGTCAAGCGACGTACCAGATTCACAAATTCTTGTAGCT